AGCCACATGCCTGCAGTGGCTCAGGGCAGAAGCCAGGGAACACTAGAGCACAGGTCTCTGGCTGTGTTCACTTTCTCTTCCTGTTTCCATGCGTCTCTGGGGTTTGTAGTCCACAGTTGCAGCCAGCAGTAAGTTTAAGCGGAGGAAGGGGTGTTTAACACCCCCCCGTGGCCCCAGAGCCCAGGTAGGGTTTGCTTGGGTGGGCAGTCCCTTCCCCTTGCCGACTGGGCTGCATCCCCAGCTGGGCTTGCCCCCTTCACTCCCTTGTCAGCCAGCCTTCACTGCTTCAGGTAGGGAGCAGAGGGCAGGGCCAGAACTGCTCTCTGGAGCAAACAGCATATCCCAGCCTAGGGCTAAAAAGCATGCTGGGATGCTGGAGGGCTGTGATTTAACTTGAACCAGGAAGGGGTCTGGGACAGAAGTTTCATAAACCAGTTTGACCCAAATCAGTGAAGTCTGATACTACATTCAACCGGGTTTATCTTAAACCAGTGTCCGCCATTTTGAAACTGGCTTATGTGCACTGAACTTCTGTTCTGTTACAGGTTTAAACCAGTTTCTGATCACTTAAATGGGTTTGTGTAACTTCTGTCCCTGTCTGTGAGGTTAACTATAACCAAGCAACTGAATTTTCACAGTGGACAAAGAGAACCTTTGTGTTTTATATCCAGTTCATGGAAACGTTCTGGGGTTACATGAGCAGTACATTTAGGGTAAAAATGGTAGCACCCAATAGCAAAAAACAAATTATTAGAATTCTGACCCTGGTAATTTGGGCCAAGTGTTCAACATCTTGTGTTCAAATGAGATGTCCTTTGCACTGAGTAGAAGTTTGCTGGAGTGAGAGTTAAGGATTTTGTGACTTGGCCCATTATTTATGGAATTGTATAATGACATTGTCTTACATTATTTAGCTGCTTTCAAAACCTGAAAGAATGCCAAAGTCACATCGCTCCTCAGTAAAGTGCAGTCACATCTGTGTCTTTAAATAGCACCTAGGTGCAAAGCAATTACTGAGTATTCAAAATAAAAAAAAGTTGGCTAAGAGACTGGGATTGAAGGTGGGAGAAACTTAGCATGTGTTAAATAGGATCTTGACACCATGTGGTCAGAACTTCCATCTCATATCTCATTTCATACAACAGATTTAATCTTATGGCGCTAGAACACTAATTTCAGACCTTCCAAAAAAATACAGTGCTACCTACTGAATCATCAGCATTTGTGCTGGCATGGCTACTTTTTTGAGATTTCATACAGCTGTTCACCAGAATAGAGAACAGGAATGTGACAGGAGTATCACTATTGGAGCCTTTCTAGGAGTGACTCCGCCCTCCTGTTATGGGCCAACCGCCTGCTTACTTTCCTGCCATGCCTTGATCTTAATTGATTGATGTAATAAGCGGGAGGCTGCCCATTTTTATGTGCCCCGGTGCCAGGGGGCGCTACCTGCGGCTCCTTTTCCTTCCCTACACTGCAGCCTAAGCCTCGCAGATGGTGCTGACATGGTTTGACCTGGGCCCTGTTATGCCTTGGCCCTCTCCTTTACTTCTGGGGCTCCTCACTGCCCCCCCTTGCTCTGGGGCTGGGGTCAATGCCCCCCCCAAATGCTGCACCCTGTTTGGCGCTAGGGTCCCCACACTACCATGGAGCTCCTATGAGGCCTCCTCCAACCCCTAACAGCCTCACCCGGTCCTCCGGTTAAAACAGTAAACACAAGAACACAAAGCCCCTGGGCTACAACATAAAAGCTAGACCGTCTGGCCAAACAAGATTCAATCCCTACCAGAGAGAGAGCACCCCAACCCCAGCAGCAACCAGGGGGTGTTCCCACTGTCAGAGTTCTCCCCTTCATCTGTACTAGCCGAGTTCCTCCTCCCTTGGCCGCTGGAGGGTAACTGCCCTCGTGGCCTCCTGCCTGGGCTTAAGAAGGGCTAAGCCCTGCCCCTTCCTGTCACTAGGTTTCACTGGTTGCCCTGGTGACTGGCAGCTGAGCCTCCCCCTTCCCGCCACTAGGGGTCTCTCCCAAGCCATTTCTGCTTTCAGGCGCAGGGCACCTGAGTGCTCTGCGACAAGGAATTTCTAGTAGAAATGTTGACATGCCCTGCGCTCTGGCACGTGCCAACAGGTACTTCTACAGTAAGTTAGGCCTGTTTTTGTAGGAACTGGCTGATGTGCAACCAACCAGGCAAAATGTCAAAGTTCTCTGTCTTGCTTCATTTTTTTGTTCCCATTATTGGAGAAAAATTAACTGATCTGACACTCAGAGTCTGAACTCAGAAAAATATCTAAGTAAATACTGTCACAGTATAGGAAGACAGCCCTACTCTACACTAAATCAGAACACTATACCATGCTACATATACCCTAATGAAACAAATAATACCATGAATAATCATGAAAACAAAGCTGTATAAAGAGACTGCTTAGAGCCTGTTGCTTGATAATACAGGGTTGTGAGTTGTACCATTACAGGCAACAATACGTGCTCAAACACAATGGTATTTGAACAACATTGACAGAAGGGAGAACACCAATTATTACCATGGAAGTCCCTGATCAATACTGCAAGAAAAGTTGTAGCACCTGTTTAGAAATGTGCTAACAACACACGGTGAGAAGTGAAAGTTAAATTATACTTCTAAATAGGGCTAGTAGGCCAGTCAGTTGTACCCTAGGAGACTTTCCATCAACATATATCAAAGTTTTGCACAGGGACTTTGGATGGAATATAGCAATTAAGACATTACGTAACAAATCAGGCAGCTTCACATTTGCAATATTGTTAGAGGCAAAGGCATATTTCGCTTGGATCAGCCCTTAAAATCTCTCTGGTCTTTTCTTGCATCTTTACCATCTTTGGGTACGTCCTATTGTGCATTCTCCCTGGCTCTCTTCCCCATGCTCTCCTTTCTGATCTGTATTCTCTGTCTCTTGTTCTCACTGGTTTTGCCTATCTGCTGTCTCCCCATTGTTCTTCTTTTGGCACCTTTCAAGCCCCCTGTCTATTGTTGACCTCCATAGACTGCTATATTGCTTTGCAGGTTGAAATGCTGCAGCAGGGAACTGCTATGCTGCTTTGCAGGTGGAAACGCTGCAGATTTGCTTTCTTATGCATT